GCCACCCTGCTGGCTTCTGGTTCCTACTGCCTCATCCCTTCAGCCTGCACAGACACAGCATTCATGATCTTGACTCTTCTAGGTTCAGCTCCCAGCTTGAACTGGAAAATTCCTCCCATGTTGCTCGTTCACATTCCTAAGAGGAACAGACTGATCAGGCCAGTGTGTGATTTCAAGCCAGATTACCCAGAACTGGCGAGCTCTGGGGCAGCTGTGACCAGGATGGGGTTGTGTCATGCGGAGCCAAATGAGAACACGGAAGAAGCAGGAAGACCGGGGTATGGGTGAGCGAGACCGGTTCCACGGCCAGCTTGGCAATCAGCCTGCTCCATGTGCCCCTGTCTCTCCCCATTGGGCCTGGTGAAAACAGACTACAGAGAGCTTAGTAGCGGTCATTTGTAGGTCACGTGAATGTTCCTATCTCCAGTGATAACAACTCTTAGAAGTTTTCAAAGATTTGTAGTAAAGGCATAAAAAAAAGTCACCTCTTCTTTAGTAGGTCAGAAAGTAAAAGAAACTGTGATCAGAAGAAGCAACGAGTGATGGCAGTGGGTAATCTATGAGGGACAAAGAGAAAACAAAGGGACTCTCTGGAGAAGCAGTTTGAGACAGAATATGCCGCCAGGGAGGTCTTTCAATACTGTGCCCTAGACCAGTGATGGCGAACCGATGACACGCGTGTCAGAGGTGACACGCAAACTCATTTTTTTGGTTGATGTTTCTTTGTTAAATGGCATTTAAATATATAAAATATCAAAAATATAAGTCTTTGTTTTACTATGGTTGCAAATATCAAAAAAATTCTACATGTGACACGGCACCAGAGTTAAGTTAGGGTTTTTCAAAATGCTGACACGCCGAGCTCAAAAGGTTCGCCATCACTGCCCTAGACCCACAGCTGCCCCTTGTTCTACCCTCCTCTGCTCAGTCACAACCTGGACCTGGGTTAGGTCCCCTAGATCAATACTTTAGGTACCTTCTTGCTCCAGGGGCACATGGAGCAGGCTGGTTGTCAAGCTGGCCGTGGAACTGGTCTTGCTCACCCATACTCCTGTCTTCCTGCTTCTTCCATGTTCTCATTTGGCTCCACATGACACAACCCCATCCTGGGAAATTTGCCACCATTTATGACCTTGTTCCTGTATAAAAATGCCTCCTCAGGGGTGAACAACCCATTGGCTCACACATGGACTTGTGGAGCATAATTGCTGCTCAGATGGGGAGCTGCTTACAAATAGAAACCTGGGACTTTCCCTTGGAACCAATAGTTACCAGAGAATCAGCAACTCTCAGAAGGAAGCTTCCGCTCCCCTTTCCCACAACCTACTTTGTTCCCAGGAAGAGAGGCTCCCAGGGTTTAATAAGGTTGAAAAAGTGGCCGTAGCCATGAGCTAATAGATATTTTCATGGTTTCCTATAAGGGATTAAAAATAATTCCAAATATTGGGGCCAAAGTGATAAAAGAGTGGGAGCTGCTCTTTGGGGAGAGAAAAGGCAGCCATGTCTCCGCCCTTCTGCTTCTTCCTAGCTTCTAGGAGAGAGGCAACCTTCCCCTCTCCTGTACTCCTTTCTGTGACCACTTCCCCAAGAGGCTAGTTATGTCAGAAGGGTGGGGTGGTGCTGGCTAGTGAAGAATGTGCTAGGTAGCTTTAGGCCAAAAGAGCTCAAATTTAAATATGATCAGAAACACCTGGTGAGGTGGTAAATAATCCAGACCCTCCCCTGGAATTTGGTCAGCAGGTCTGGAGTATGTGCCCAGGAACTTGTACTTTTAAACTTGTACCCTGATTCTGGTGCAGTGAGTTCATGTATCATATTTGAGAAAGAAAGCTGGGCCCTGGGGAAGAATTTGGTTCACCTGCAAAAATAAAGTGTATGTGTGTGTGCGCGCAGTTGCCCTGCTTTAGTTCTGGGCTCCAGGAGAGTCTCTTAACCAAGCAAAAGGAGTTGCTCTCACCTGGCTCAGAAGAGCCCAACATTTGAGTTTGGGCCAGGGCCAAGTAAGTAATAGCTCCCACTAGCGAGGCCGCCGGCCTCCGGGCCAGCACTTCCTGGGTAGAGCAATGGTTCTCAACGTTACTGCACATTAGAACTCCCTGGGGAGCTTTAAAAAATACTGATGCCTGGGCCCCCCTTCCAGAGAGTCTGGTTTCATTGGACTGGGTACGGTCTGGACATTTAGGATTTTTTAAAAGCTCCTTGGGTATTTCTAACGTGCAGCTAAAGATGAGAACCACTGTGGTAGGGAAAATGACTTTTGCTTTCCTAGAGCCCTGGCTGAAAACAACCTTATATTGCCTTTTTAACATGATGGACACCATGGAAGAATTCTTGATATTTGCATTTCTGCAAGGCAAAAAAAAAAATATATCAACAATATGTAAAAGGAAAAAAACACACAAAACAATATGTAAAAGGTAATATTTTGAATTGTGGTTACCTAAGAACATAGTCAAGGATAATGAAAATATTCTTAGTATGACTTCCTTTGTCCTTTAGCAAGAAAGGCATAGTATGGTATAAGTCATAAATCTCTAAAGTATTTCAGAGATAAAGTCACTTGCAACACTTGTAGGCTTTAAAAGCTTTCCCTAAAGAAACAGGAAAGTGTTAAACCTTTATGCCTTCTTTCTCTTTTTCCTGAGACCTGGCTGATCAGATTCATAGTTGATGTAGATACAATATTTCAAGAATATCTATTGCTAGAAATAGGTGAATGAACTCAACAGCAAATGCTATCAGTGGACTATAGCTTTTAAACAAATGGCCATCTAATTCTGATCACTAGAGGAACAATGACTTTGTTAAATCTGTTATATTCTGATACACTCACACTAGCAACAAGTTTAAGCTATGTTTGTTATTTTTTTTGTAACAATTGGGTGTATTTGGATTTTGTGAAAATTAAACGTATCTTTTGTCTAAATACAGTGCAATTTTATATTTAAGGATGATGGCATTTATCTTAGAAATAGGCTCCTTGGGGCTATGTCTGAGCTAGTTTAGATTTTTGCTGAAAAGTTTATGAGACTGTGAGCACGTGTTCAAATTGGGGCTTCTTGGAAAGAGAAATCCATGGAGATTTGAGGAGGTCCACATACTCTCTGAAACTATTTGTCTAATTTTAAATGTATACCCTTAGTTCTTTTAGGAGAAGGTCCATACTTTTATCAGACTTTCAAAGGGTTTATAACCACAAAAGGTTAGGACCCAGAGCTCCATGCACTTAAACTGAGCACCCTTCACTCTGATCCCCTTCAATGCAGTGTGCTATTGATAACAGGATGTAGACAAGGAAAAATAATATTACATGTTGCTCTTCAGCCCCGCTCTTCTCTGGGCCAGGGTTATCGATGTTTCTGTGAGGTACTGACAGCCATATGTCTTAGCTCAAGTTGATTTGCTATAAATGAGCATTAGAGGGACCAGCAGTAGCGGGGAATCTAAGTTTTGTTTCTTATGCTGTAGCTTCCATGCCATTCCAGGAAGAGTGGGCAGTTTTGATGAGCCCGGGAAAACCGATAGTGGATGCCGTTTTCTGATTACAGGCAGAAAGTAAATTTGATATTTTCCCAGCTGATTCCTGTTCCTGCATCTAATTAGATAGTGTCAGCTTGAGGGGGTCATTGTCAAAGGCTGCAAATGCAGTAAAGGTGGACCTCCCTTTAATTACACTCAACATTGAAATTGTGGCTTTTCTCAAATAATAGAGTGATGACTTGATAAAAAAAATTACTTTAGATAGAAAGTTTCCTCAAAATATATTCAACGTACAAATACTAACTCTAATTCCTTTTTGGGAATATAAGGAAATAAAGTTTTCTTCTAGGTGAGTGACATTTAGCCTCATTATGGGGAGGAATGCAATTTTTGTTAAAACAATAATTTTTAAATAAAATTTATATAATATTATATATTCTCATCTTTTCAAAACATTAATGTAGGGCAGTTATGTTGGTAAATTTTCCCCTGGTGTGGGAAATGTAATATGTGAAGTTAACTTTTTATTATTATGGCTAATTCCAAAATATATTACCAGCATACAGTAGTTTTCATGGGGATTTAAGGAGTGCTAAATACTTTTGTACATATTTAGATATAAGGCTAAAGTATCATATTTTTGTAAGCTTAAAGTAATAATATTTTTAGCTTTCAGGAAAGTTAGTTTGCACTTGCCTAAATAAGAAGTGAAAGAAATTTTATTTAAGATTGAAAAAATAGTTTTCTTTCATTTGAATTATTGGACTCAATGCAAGATAATCCTTTTCATGTCATAGATATGGAAATACCTACATGTTTAAAATCGTCACTACTGCCATTTTTAAATTTGAGTGACCATCTAAAATTTAGTGTGTATTCGCTTTTGGTTTTCTAATCAGTTGTTTGACCCAAGCCCTTTTCAAAGAGAAGTGGCAATGTCTCACCCTTCTTTAAAGAAGATTCCAGTCACTTAAACTTAAAAATGACAATAAATTAAGCTACTGGTAGCTTATGTTCTTGAACAACAACAAAGGCAGCTAAAGATTTCTTCTCTCTAATGCATAAGAAACTAATCAAAGCAAACATCATTAAATGCTAATGATTTCTTCAAAATGTTTCAACCTTTAAAATCCCAATAACTTTCTCCATTATAGATATATGGCTGCGGTGGCAAAAATAAAAACAAATCAATTCAAGTTATCTATTTGCAAATTATAAATGAACATGACTGATTATAGAATTTGTAAAAATTGAATATTAATTCTTGAGGAATTCTTCTTGAGGGTTCTATTGTAAGTGATATTTATCCCCATATGGAAGAGTGTGGATTTAACAAAAGTTATCACAAGAGCATTTTAAACCACATTAATTTTTTTTGGTAGTTTCATACTATTACCATTTCAAGATCTTTGATAGTGGGATGTCCAGATAAAATCCCCCCTGTGGTTTTGGATTACAGCCTGTAGAGTGTACGCTCTTTTAGCTTACAAAGTTTAGAAAGAAATCCTGAAATTTGAATATTTTTTTTAAACAATCCATATTTTTATTTCATTCCAATCCATGTTTTTTATTTAATGAAAATTGCTATCATGCTTTCCCCCCTAGTCCTCACTGATGTTCTTTGGGGGGATGCTACCCTGACCCATTCTTTGAAACAACATATATAATCTAGCAAGTCACATGTCAACCAGCCCTTAGGTTGGAGCAAGCCCTCGCAAATATTTTTCAAACTACCTGTCTCCATCCTTTCCTTCTGAGGTAGAACTATTGTGAGTGTGATGAAAAACACTGCCTCCTAAAAGGGCCTGACTGCTCTCAGATTCTGTGAATGGAATGGGTGGGGAGGATTAGTACAGCCTTCAGGTATTAGCTATAGGGGCTAAAGCCTCTGTAAACCTCCTTCAATCAGCTTCCTGATGTTAGAGTCTGGCCTCTGCCTGCCTCTGGTACTTGGACCCTGGCCTTGCTAGTGATAGCCACAGAGGGCCGTGAGGCTCAGCTGGTCATCACTGGGTGAGGAAGTGTCAGGATCGCTGTAGATCTGAGTCAGAGCTAAACTCAGGATTTCTTTCTTCTCTTTGTAAAACCGTAGTTCTTGTCCTGCTTTCCTGGCTTCCTCCAACTCCCTCAGAGCCATTCGTAGCTCTTGAGACAGAATTCCTGGCGACTCCCGCTCCTTCATGATCCAGTCCAGGGCCATGTGGCTGCGCATCTTTTCATCCAGCGAATACTGGGAATAGTAGGAGATAACTTCCTGGGGGCCAAGAGACAAGGTCCTGAGTGTCAGTAAAGAGGACCAAAGGCACCTGTGTTCATGGCCTCCCGACGCCTCTTTTCCTCTGCCTCCACCCCTCCTCCACATCCAACCACTAGGCCTCTTTGATGTTCACAAACTGAAGCCAAGTCCCATGACATACTTCTTACAGAAAATGAAGGACTAAGCTGGTACAGCAAAGCAAAGTTACTCCAGGTTGAGTCAAAACACTAACACCAGGAAGACTCAATAATATTCACAAAATAGAGGTCTGACCCCGGTAGAAAATGTGTTGTTAGCATAAGGAAGATGACAGTCTAAATCTCTCACAGAAACGACGGTAATAACTTTTAAAATGTATTATGGAATGTAGGCATTCTCATTATTGATATAATGGTACCTTCATGTACATGGTCTCTTACTTCTGTAAACAACTAAAAATTAGTCACTAACTGTCAATTCTCGTGTGAAAAATTTGCCAATGCATTGTAACATCATGTGTAGGTTTGATGGAGACACTTTAAGAAGATCTTGTGGAGTGGATGCATTGCTTATTTTTATTTTCAGGAACATATGGTATTTATTTATGACCTTAACAAATTAAAAACAATCATGGAAAAGTGTTTATAACGAACCCCGGATATTTCAAAGGCCTTTTGTAAAATCAAAGGAAAAGGAAAAATAACCAAAGCCATTGTCAGCTACTCATTTCTTTTCCATCCTTGACATTTTGAAAGCCAGGCTTTCTACGCAAAGAACAACTAAAAGCTCCTGGGGCCGCAGTGCATGGTAATGCTTACATCCACCTCATCTTGCTGACTAGTAGAGGCTTTGTTCCTCATGCAAGTTCCTGTTAGCAAACTCTTAAAAATAAACTCCCATCTTTCAAAGTCTAACGGTGGGTAAAGAAAGGATAAATCTTGGAGGATAGTGGGTGAAAACCATTAAGTACACAGGAAGGAGTTTGCCTTTGCCTTTAAAAAGGGGGGTGGGGGGAGGGAGGGCAGGGTGCTTCTCATAGGTAGCAAAGAAATAGTGAGACCCTGTCTCTGAAAAATAAGAAGAAATTTCCAAACCATAAAGTTGGGGTGATTGGATGCCAGCTTGCCCACTTTTACAAGCATTTCTGTTGCCCGTTGGGGACCTTTTGTGGCTGTGAGAAAAGTCCTACTATCATCAACTTGACCTCCCCTCACTGCGGAGGTCCCCACGCGGTGCACTCTCAGGTTTCCTTCCGCACTGCAGAGCGGAGGAGGGTGCACACTCTAACAGGCAGGGCAGGTACATGGAGTGTATTCCACAGTTGCCTTAGAAATCAAGTCTGTCTCAATGATCCCTTCATTTGGCAGCATTTAGTACAAGTATCTAAATCAGTCTTATGCCTAGTCAATGTTCTTAGTATGCATATTTGGTCAGTGCCTGACTCAACTGGACTGATATGTGTGTGTGTGTGTGTGTGTGTATATCTATATATCTATATATACATAGATATATACACACTAGAGGCCTGGAGCATGAAATTCATGTGCGGGTACAGTCTCTAGAGCCATCTTCCCCAGCTGCCTGCAGCTGGCCCCGCCCCCTGCCGCCACCCACCCCCAGTTCCCCATTTGCCATCGGGCGATCAGAGCCTGCTGGCCGGGGGTAGAGACCAAGAGGTTGGCCGTTCCCACCCGCTTGCCTGTCCCACCCTCACAGTGGGTTGTCCTCTCTGAGTGGGGCAACTGGCATGGCAGGGGCCTTGGCCTGGTGCTGCCTGCATCCCCTGCCACCCACCCCTGGCATCCCGTTCACCATCGGGCAATCGGAGCCTGCCAGCTGGGGAAAGGGACCGAGAGGTGGTCAGTATGCCTCATAGTGACTGGTCGAGCAGTCATTCTGGTCGTTCCACCATTAGGGTCAATTTTCATATTACCCTTTTATTATATAGGACTAGAGGCCCAGTGCATGAAATTCGTGCATGTGGGGGGGGGGGGCGTCCCTCAGCCCAGCCTGCACCCTCTCCAATCTGGGACCCCTTGAGGGATGTCAAACTGCCCATTTAGGCCTAAACAATGGCCAGCAGGGGAGGGCTGTTGGGGGCCGCCCAGCCCTCCAGGGGAGGGCAGTTGGGGGCGACCAGGCCAGCAGGGGAGGGCTGTTTCAGGGCAAGAGGGATGGATAGGAAGCACTTTTGCCTCTGACAGCCTGCCTGATCACCCCCTAACCACTCCCCTGCCAGCCTGACTGATGCCTAACTGCTCCCCTGCCAGCCCAATTGCCCCTAACTGCCCTCCCCTTCTGGCCTGGTCACCCCTAACTGCCCTCCCCTGCAGGCCTGGTTGCCTCCAACTGCCCTCCCCTGCAGGCCTGGTCCCTCCCAACTGCCCTCCCCTGCTGGCCATCTTGCGTCCACATGGGGGTGGCCATCTTGTGTTGGAGTGATGGTCAACTTGCATATTACCCTTTTATTATATAGAATAGTTATGTATATTTATTCATGTGTCCTCTACTCTTACTTAATAAACAAAGTACCAAATTTAACAGGAAAAAGTCCAAATAAAGGAAACCTCCTCGAGACATCATGGCCATCTGATCTGTCTTTTCAACACAAGGCCATTCTGGATGGTAAAACCTCACCTGTCGGGAACACTTTGTTTCGCGAAGGGCTTTTAGGCTCCCATTCCAGTGTAGTAGTTGGAAAATGGTCATCAGCTCCTACAAAACCCAAACACCTGTCATTAGTCTCAAAGCAGAAACGTGAAAAAAGTGCCTCAGTGAGAGCTGAGCAGGGCGTGACTCTGACCCCCAACTATGTCAGGGAAATAGGACACACAAGGTTGTCAGGACACTTTGAGACTTTCAAACACCAGAGTCCCAGGCTTCTGGAGCCTTCTTCCTTCCCTCCCCTGCTATATCCATATTTGCACAACAAAATGGCTTAATAATTTATAAATATCTTTCAACATTAAAAATTATCTGAATAGACCAGTGAATCTGAGAATAATTTATAGGCATCGTAATTTTTGAAATTGCCTGAGAACTGGAAATACCTCAAATGTTCATTTTTAAATGAATGGCTTAATAAAGTATTGAAGGGCAGCAGAATATGCCACCCAAAATATGAATTTAGGACATGACCCCATAGAATATGCCACTTTGATATATTGATTATTTTGAGCTGAAGGCACTTGAAAAACAGCAAATGTAGAGAGAGAAAGTGTCTCTCTGAGCTCCTCTTATCTGTCTAAGACGCATCCTCCAAAAGGCACCTGGTTGTCATAAGTCCCCCCCCACCCCCCGGGGAGTTTCACTAACCTGGGAAGGCAGACTCATCACAGAAGAGGAAACTGGACGTCCGCACCACACCCACACAGGCTTTGTCACATTTATTCTTCTAAGTGCCCATTTATCTTTCTTTAAAGTTACCTACTTTCCCTAAAACACCTACATCCCCTTCCTCTTTCCCTATTATGATGGTATTTAATCCTGAATTCTATGCCACCTCAGGAGGTACTCATTTTTCCCTGGGTCTTTCTCATGTATACACGGGGCATACATGTCAATAAACGTGTTTTTCTCTTGTTAATCTGTCTTTTATTACAGGAGTCTTAGCTAAGAACTCAGAAGTGTTCAGGGAAAATTACTTTTCCTCCCCTACAATACATTCACACCACTGAATACGGTGCAGTCATAAAGAAAGGATGGGAAGGCTCTCTAGGTTCTAATGTAAAGAATCTCTGTGATGTATTGTTAAAACAAAACAAAACAAAACAAATAAAATAAAATAAAATAAAATAAAATAAAATAAAAGCAAAGTGCACATCCTGTATACTGTGTGCTACTAGTTGATAAAAACAGAATAGGAGATCTCGGTAAATATTTGCTTGTAAGTGCCTAGAAGAGTTCTGACAAGATACAAAAGAATTGGGTAACATTAGTTGCCCCTTGGGAGAGAACAGGGATGCCTGGGGACAGGAGTGGGAGGGAGAACTTCCTCTGACATTCTTTTGCACCTTTTGAGTTTTGAATCATGTGACAACATTACATATTAAAGAAAAAATTAAATTAAAAAAAATCAGGACTAAAAAGTAAATATAAAACATATAATAGGCAAACTATAAATACTGTAAAAATATTCCAATATTTATAAATTCAGTCAAGAAAATTCCTTAAAATATGAACAATACAGTAGAACTGACATTAAAATACACCCACCATGGTGAGGGCCTGGGGTGGGAGGTGGGGGTGGGCTGGATGGTATCGATGGGGGGGAAAAGGGGATGTATGTAATACTTTTAGCAATAAAGATTAAAAAAATTATACCCACAGTTTCCAATGGCCAGTGCTGAGCACAGCATTACACTTTCTATGAGCTTCATCCTTGCCCTGCACGGTATCAAGGGCAAGCTAAAGGGAATAAACGTGCTGATGATTTTAATTCTCTAATGTGATTAGAACTGGCAGTCTTCCACTGAAGTTATCTGCTTTTCTTTTCTTTCCTTTCCTTTCCTTTTCTTTTCTTTCCTTTTTGGTCAGAGACACATTTATTTTGGATTAATACCACAAACCACAACCTTATAATGATCAGAAAATAACAACACAATTAAGGAACTTCCTGGTCATGCAAACCAGTTATGAAAACCCTACATTTAGATGTCCAACTGCCCATTCAAAAAGCTGACTTTCACTGTCATTACCTCATTATGAAAACCAGGAGGCCCAAAGTCATTCTGGGATTTCAGACATCTTAGGATTATTAGGTAAATTTTAAAGCTATAAGGTAAGCAGAAGAGCAAATAGCACTATTATCATGTTGAAAATTGCCATTAGAATGTAATGTGTTTCTTCTTTTCAGTTTGGGATCCAGTTTGGGATTTTGTTCTTCTACACAGTAAGCACCCCCAGAGACTTCAGTAAAAGCAAAACTATCTGTTTTTATTCATTAAAATCTGATGTGCAAACCAGCAGAATTACTTCTGCCCCAAACACAGAGCCCACCGCCTGCCCAGGGCCCTGGGTCCAGTCCCAGGGAGGCTGCCCCTCTCATGCCTGCTCGCCGCCACTTCTCCCTGCCCCACTCCAGACTTTCACTCCGTCACATCACTCTGCTAATTTGGAGAGTGAGAGTGGTTTGTTCTATAACCACAACCAAGTGTTGCCTAACCTCACTCACAACATCTATTTGTTGTTTACTTACTTATGCACTCATTGGTTGATTCTTGTATGTGTCCTGACTGGGGATAGAACCCACAACCGTGGCGTATTGGGAGGATGCTTTAACCAAAGCTACCCGGCCAGGTAAATGTTTATTTTTTTTTAGAAGAAAATAAATACCACTTCCACTCCTCCACCTATGTTCCCCACCCCCGTCTTCATGTAAAGTTGACAACCCAGAAGATACACTGAGTTTATTCCATGGCTTCAATAGCCCTGATGACATTGTCCTTACTCCCTTGTAGCACAGTTTGAGAAAGAGCCTATTTCTAACAGGGATCTTATTCCATGTTCTGACAACTGCTGCCTGATAACACATCTTCCTCCAAGGCCTACAAGGCTCTCACTCTCATCTTACACAAACCTCCTTTCCCGATAAATTCCCGTCATTCCATATGGCAATCCCCCTAAGACTTTAGAACCCACAAATTCTGCTGCAAACAGAACCAGAGACCTTTCTTACATACCTTGGCAACCTACAGCTCTCAAAAACCCCCAGAGACTTGAACTGTTTTTTGCCTGCAGGATGAGGGTCACCCTCCTCACCCGCTCTGTTTATCTAAATTTCTGATCCATCACCAAGCATTTTTTTTCCTCTTCAAGTAACACAAGCCCCTCTTCCTCAGTGTTGCTCTTGTTTCTAAAATCCTTCAGGGAAAATGACCTTCTTTCTGCCTTCTTCCATTATGCTCCCATCTAATTCTTGCCCTCCTCGTAGACATATTAATCTTGCTATCATTATGTGGATAGTCCCACATTCTTTCTGTCCCAATTCTTTATTTCCCCTCATAAGACCAAATTCACTATCTTCAGATCTTCCTGAAGCTGCATGAGCCCTGGGCTCAACCCAGGAAATCTTTGTGTGCCTCCCATTGATTCGTTCCATCGGAAATCCTGGCATGACTGCAGACTGGCTAGGAGAGGGCCGCTCCCTTGTTTCACCAGGATTCCTTGCTGCCTGGTCTTCCAGACCTGTTTCCTACCTGTCGAAGTCCTGTCTCTTTAAAGGGAGCCTGTTCCATGAGCTCTATGTCCTGTTCCTCACAGGACTTTTCCTGCAGGGCTAACTGTTCTGTGGACTGATCTAGAAACCTGGGGATTCTGAGCATCTTGAGAGATAAACAAGCAGCTGGCCTAAAGGTTGGGTTGGGACTAGGGTTGGGTGAGTGAAGCAAGCTTAAGGTGAGTCATGCAAGTTCAGGGTCTTTTATTTAAAATTCTGTCATTATTTAAAATTTTGACATTTTGTCATGAATGTTTCACGTTTTGACTTTATACAATATTGTGTTATACTACTACTCATCTTGATTACTGAGGTTTTTGACACTCCTTTAAATTTCGTGCCTGAAATGAGTGCCTAACTCTTCTTACCCGGTCTGGACCCTTCTCATGGGTCTGTCTCATGGTCAAGGCCAGCTTTGTGAGCTTGCAATCTGTGCAGTCACCTAGGATCTCGAGCTTGGCGTAGTGATCCACTGCCTTTAATAATTTATAAGTATCTTAGTAGTTTTTTAACAAAAGGCCCTGCATTTTCATTTTTCCATGGGCCCCATAAATTATGTAGCTAGTCCTGATCAGCAAAGTAAAATTAAAATAAAGTGGAAAAAATCAAGCCTTGTGTGTGTTTTTTTCTCTTCAGGAAAATTTACAGTTTTCTTGGTTCATTTTGTCATTCATTCCATTTTAACCAACTACAACTGGACTCTGTCCTCACAGTGCTTCCTGGTATTGCCTCCTGGTAGAAACACTGGCCCTTCAGCTGCTATGCGGGGAGGTGGGGAAATGCACACTGTTTCTCTCTGGAACTATGTCTGGGAGACTGGCTTGGTTCTGTGATTCATCAGAAATAAGAAAAACAAACACTATAAATGGAGAACTTGAAAAACAGGTGGGCACCATCTCCCCACCCAAGAGAATGGATTTAAAAGGAAATTTGTTTATGAGATGAGGTTTTAAAAAGCAACCTGGAGAATTTAGCAAAGATGTAAATAAACAACTCGTCCTTGGATTGCATTAGGCTGCAGAATAAATATATTAACCAGCGTCAGTCAAAGTCGGCCACGAACCTGACCTTGACAAGACCCAGTGGCTAGTGCTGTCACCATCCCTCCCCCCAAACATCAGGCAGTTTTCTCTAAGGCAAGGCTACCTCAAACAGGCATCCAGGCTTCCCTCCCAAGTGAAGGTAAGCAGAAGCCTATCAGGTTTCCTCTGCGCCCTGCCTCCTTGACAGCGCCCCTGGAAAGCCTGCGGGCAGTCAGGAGACACCAGCCTTGTTTTTATACGGTGTAGTCATCTATGGGTAAGCACACATCTATTACCCACCAGGGGTACTGACTGCTGGGTCGACTGTGGTCAACTCCCATCATGTGCAGAAACAAGCTGATGCATTTAAGCCCGGCCACCAAGGAACGTGCAGGCCCCGCAGGCAATAGAGCTGGTGGGGAAGAAAGGGATGTCTGTGCTCCAGGCCCTCCTCCTGGGTTGCCAGCATCCCTACTAGGGAGAGGGATTTTGGATTTTTCCTGTCCTCACATCTTCTTCTTCCTTCCTCTGTACCCTATCCGTCCCCAACCTCCCCTCTGTGAATTTATGAAGCATTTCCAGCAGGATTAAAATTATTTCACATATTTAAATCTCTTACAACATAGACCACACAGGAAAACACAGCCTGTACCAAGGTAATTAAAGTATTACTGAAAGGTGGTTAGTATAGCCTTTCATAGTAGCTGGATGAAATTTTAAGAAATAAAAAAGAAAATCTTGCCTTCTATCTTTGGCAGACTAACTTAATGGCATTCAAAAATCATTCTTGGCACTGAGGGCGTGCCACCTGCCTCCTCACCTTGCCCAGCCTCCTGCACTCCCTGCTGCTCCCAGCCCACACCATGATCAAGAAGCCCTCATCCTCTCTGTCTGCTTCTTCCCTCGATACTCCCACACCTAGATGTTGACTCAGACACAGACATTTCCAGTGACTCAGAATTACAGGCTGAACTAACACCAACCACTGACCCAGAGTCGCCGATGTCCTGATGGTGCAGAGCGGACCACTGAGGATTACTTAGAGAATACACAAGTTTGGGAATTGTCCACGGTGTGGAATTAAACACCTCCAGCTCTGTGGAAGAAGCCACTGAGGAGGCCACAGTGAGTGTCACTGGTGATTATTTGGAAGAGCCCATGACTAGAGTGCCAGAGGAGCCCAGCACCTCCACGGAAAGCGATGAGGTCATCTCAGCGCTTGTTTAAAATGAGGCAGATTCTCCATTGGCTGTGATCTTTGCTCTGCTAACCACAACTGTCTAAGAAGATTCTGAGCTTCTGCACAAGCCTGCTATTCCATTATAGTGTGAATAATTGTAAAAGACTAGTGAGCCATAGCATGTACCCAGCGGTACAGTGTAGGGAACTGTCCACAGACAGAGGGGATACATTCCTTAAACATGTCCCATTTAATATCGGGTCAATAAATATTTGTTTAAAATGAAAAAAAATTATTCTTGATTTTCTGAAAATAGATACTAAATCATATACAAGCTACTAAGTACTGAGGCAGGCAGCATTCATTCTATAACAAAAGAAATGCAATATTTTTTTGTTGGAGTTGATAGGGGAGAAACTTTTAAAAATGGGGTTCTTTGAGAAAATCACTATGTTAGACACTTTATAAATGTCATATTATGTAAATCCCACAAAAATCCTATACAATGGGCATTATAATTCTTATTTTATACATGGAAAGCTGAACCTCATGCTAGTTCAGTTCACAGGTGGAAAGTGGTAGAGCCAGTTTCACATACAAGTCTTTAAAAGTTTGTGTTCTCTCTCCTGTGTTATGATCCTCCCTTTATTATTTTTTTGTTTGACTTTAGATTGTTGCTGGGGGTAAGGGAAGTACCCTTTATAGTCCCACCTTTTTATTCTACAGCAAGGACCCTGAAATGTTCATGCAGGGAAGCGACCCTGTCCTCATCTGAAACCTTTAGTTTACATAAAATTGTCAAGAGAATCTACCCAGTAGCCTCCGACATAAAGCAGTCCTTCTTCAGAAAGTTATATAATAAAGGTTGTTAAACTTCATTGATCATTTACAATATGCCAGGAACTGTTCTGGGCTCTTTCTATATAGTCCCATTGGATCCTCATAATGGTACTGTGAGGAAATGCCACTACTATTATGCTCCCTGATTTATATGCAAATGAGGAAGCAGATTCAGAGGTGAGAAGACCAGCCAGGCTGAAAGGGACCAGCCCCCTCCAAAGCCTGGGCTCAGAACCAGAAGTAGATCTGGGAGACAGAGGATGTTCATGATAAGAGTGGCCTTCTCCCAGGCTTTTAGATTGTGTAGCAAAATAAACAAGTGGCAGGAAGTCAGGCACCTGAAATTCCAGCATGGTCTTCCCCATATTGGACTCCAGCATGTAGTGATAGGCGCCGATGCTGGTGCTGGGGTCGTCAGCGTCGTCCAAGGTGCCCTTGGGAAGGAAGCAGAAAAGGGAAGTGTTATGGACGTTCCCTCCTCTTCTTTGGGTGATCACAAATTAATACCGTGGCCCTACAGTACCTTCTATTGGCCTGGCACTGCAGGTGTGTATTCCACAACCAAGTCTCCAGTTGATTTGGCATAAAATCCTTAATCTCTCCACGATTCAGAGGAAAGAGGATTTTGTAATCAATTTGAATCTGGCATTCCATTAAATTGTTGGCTGATTATATCCGCACTAAAAGAATAATTATCCCAAAGCAGAAATTCCTGTGCCCTTGCAAAGGGTTTTGTTGATAGTGGCGTTAATGTTCTAGTGGTTGCCCACTTAGGCTGCCTGCAGGTGTTATTGGAATCTTGAAATGATGACCTTGTTCTGGTTCCAATGATAACCAGGCAAGATTATGTAACTGACAGGGAAAGAATTCTTCAGTTGTATGGACCATTCATATTTTACTGCCATGATTCTTAATGGGAGCTTTTCATAATATGCTGGTGTTCAGCCTGGAAACATGGATCTTGGTTTATATTTTTTTACTTCCGGATCACTTAATCTCCAGCAATCAAGGTGGGTGGGTGATGTGTAGAAATGGAATTCTCCTTCAATTTGGTTAGGGGGAGTGGCAATAAAAAAGCTAACATAAGGTCTGGGGCCTGCCCTTCAATATCCCCTGGTCTTGGATTCCTGAGAAGGTGGGCAATGACTTTGTGAGGCTGAACATAGGACTGCCAACATCAGATAGCAGCAAATTTATAGCTTTTGAATGCAATAACATTAACACTGCTGCTGAAATATTTATGTTGGCTTTTTAAATATCCCAGAGGAAATCCATCCAGAAGCCTGCAAATCTTATATATTTTCTTTCCTTAGAAATTTCCATGAAAAAATGATAAATTACATTTACACTGAGGGCCCCTCCCTGCTCCTGAGTAAATTCCACACATAGAAATCAGGCATCATTTTTCTAACTTCTCTTCCTCAAAGGCACTTGAAATGTGCAGGGCAGCGAAACAAAGGCTTCCTTTCATCCTCAGAGCAGATATGGAACAGAGCTCCTGAGGTCTCCACGCCTGGTCAGCCACTCTCTGCCCCTCCTTCCCTCTCCTCTGTGTGATAAGAGCATTTATGAGGGGAAAGAAAAGGAGAAAAAAGGTAACTGCTGGTGTGATAATGTCTCCTTCATTGTCAACAGCTTCTCCAGAAAGACCGACCCTTTACAGTCCGATTGAGGGAATCAGAGAATGAAAATCTCAGGTCAGATTTATTCATGCTAAAGACAAGCCAGGAGTTGACTAGCCCCTTTGGCAATGCCAACTTCCTGCTCTTGGAGGACATACAGGGAGACAACTACCACAGTGGGGACCCAAGGCTTCCTCCATGGCTTATGGTTTGGAGGTATCAAGGATCAGGAGCTCCACATAATTCATGGGGTAACTCGCCTACACCTGGATCGCGGAGAAACCATCCTACCTAAATTTCTAAGACAAAGTGTTTTGCTCATAAGCACTTTGTATTTAGTTATGTCCATTACAAACATTTTCAAAGCCCTCTGAAAGAAGTAATTGATTAAGCATGACAATTCTAATAGTTAACAAATATTGGGCATACAGCTTTCCCCATATCTAAGCAGTCATGGGGGTTGGGGGGTTAGCATTTTTAAGAACTTCACATCATTTGTAAGATTAGTTAAGTTTCGGGGGAAATGAGCTAGTTTACCTCTAGAGTAAAGCAGTATTTAATTGCGTGTGGTCTCAGGCTCTCAAACAAATCAATGCTCCTCAAACAGCAAAAATATTCAAATAAAGAAATCAAGGTGGATCAAATGATCCGCCTTGATTTAAGGCTTGATTAATTGTGGTCCAGGAAGAGGGAGCCAGTTCCAATTTTGTGATTTCCAATCCAAGGGTTCTTTTTGCTGAAAATTAATGATTTAATGGATAAAAATTAAATCTGCCCAATTCTTTAAAAATGTGCTCACTTTAGCATCTCCCATGATTCAAAGGCCTCAGTATTCTAAGAGCAGCCAGCTCCTCCCTTCCCTGGGGTACTCACGCTGGTGGAGGCAACTGCTTCCTGCACGCTCTCCATAATGAATTCCTTGGTGATCCTTCGAGAGGGCAGCTCATTGAACAGGGAGTTGATTAGGGCCACCTTAGCTGCATCCCGCCTGGCCTCGGCTCTACTTAAGCAGCACTTGAGAAGGGAAGGAGAAGGGGAGTCATTAAAGGATTCAGCATTTCACCATTTTGTCCCTACCTCAGTGGGTCTCTAGACATATCTGTTCATATATTTACTGTCTGTACCTCTTCTGTCACATCCATTGCTAATCCCCTGAAGATCATACAGATTTTCTCTCAGCCCTAGATTCCATGCAAATGTCTTGGTAGGCCTATAAATGCTGTTTTTGGTCTTATTTCATAGTCATTGAATGGCTACTATGCACCAGAGGCTTTACATACTGTTAATAAATAATCACAAAAGTCATAATGGCTACTTCTATGTGCCAGGTAGTTATATTCATTATCAGGGCCTTCCTCAAATCTTTATTTTTGAGAAAAAAATGTAAGGAAGCTGGGAAGTAATTAAGGACAGAAGTTCTGGGGTCAGGTTGCTTGGCTTCAGGCACTTGCTAGCTGAAAGACCCTGGGCAAATTAGCCTCTCGGTGACTCAAGTTCTGCCATCTGTCAATGGGAATAATAGTAGTCCCTATGGAATAGGTTTGAGAATAGCCTCAATTAGTTAATATAGGTAAAGTAGTGAGTCTACCTTACACATGGTAACACTCTATGAGCACATTCCAGTCTTATACTTTTACCTCCAGGTTAGGACAAAGGGGCTGCTGTCGAAATCTATTGTTTTTGCTTTTCCAGCATTTATCTTTCCACCTTCCCTCTAATAACAGTTCCTTGATTTTCTTGAGGGCCCCCTTTTCCACCTTGGTTTCCGTCCACACAGTTTGCGTCAACATTTGGCCTTCCTGAAGTTAGGGGCCATAGGCAGCCCATGATTAGTAACTCATTAGAAAAAATATTCATTTCTCCCAAATGTAATATTGCTCTCCTTCCCAGCCTGGCTTTCCTGTGGCTCACACAAGTCTGCTCAATACATCCTGATTCTTTCCTATTCTGTCTCTTTCCTTACCAACTACAACTCTTATTCCAGTTCTGGCTTGGCGTGGACCCTGGGAGTCCAGAGAGAGGGATGAAGTCCTATGGGAACTGCACTGTCCCCCGAGCCCACCCCTGTTGGAGGACCCCAGACTGTGATGGCCTCTCTCCCACAGTTCCTGTGAACTGTCCAGGGTCCTAGACCCTATGCCAAGACTCTTAGAGGAAAACAAGCCAGAAAGAGAAGCCCAGGCCCAGGTCCTGGTCAACACGGTGGCCGTGCACCTCTGGCTCTGCCACTCAGTGACGGTGAGACTGGGATGCCAGAACTTTGGGCTTATTTCCTAACTGAATAAGTGGGGACGGTAGCCTCTTTGATTTTAAGGCTCCTGATACCTACAATGCATGATTCTCAGAATCAGTAGTGCTCGGTGACTGATGTGAAAAAACAGAGAAAGTAGCAAAGATCCCACTTCATGTTGCAGTTTCACAGCCTCAGTGGCTTGGTAGCACCACTGGGAAAAGGTCAAGGCCCTATGGTTTGCTTGCAGCACATTGACCATCCCTGCACTGACCCAGGAACACTCCGAACTCACAATAGTGTGTCATCTAAAGGCCCAGACTCTCCTCCCCAACTCCACAAATCCAGATAAGCCTCCTGAGGTCAGGCCCTGGCCCCTCTGATTTCCTCCTAATGTGTCAGGACCCTAACAAAAAAGAACAATTAAAAACAACACAAAGAGATTTCCAATATCACCTCTAAATAAAGAATTACTAGTAAGCTGAAGGTCTAAAATGTATGTGAAAAGCAGCTTGGGTTTTTCTCCAAAGAAGACTTTGGGGTAGCTTGAGGCAGTAAGCAAAGCCATTCAAGGTTTAGACCTCTCCCAAAGTGTAGGCCACCTGTATTAAATCGTGAGGCATGGCTTTGCATTATGGACTTGACTGGGAATTTATGGGACGTTGAGTTCTGAGTCAGCAAGTATCTCACTAAAGCATGGGTGCCACCTCTTTTAGGAAGTCTTCCCTGATCACTCTTAAGGCGGGCTGGGAGGACCGCTGTCCATGAGAGGCACTTACACACTGTTACATAATTGCCTGCTAGTACCTGCCCCCAGACTCCAGGCTGCGAGCAACCTAAGGGCAGAGTCTGTGGCTTAGTCATCTTTAAGTCTCTGGACCTACAACACAGTTTATTGAATGAATAACTAAATGCTGCCTAGGAAATCTAAACACAAATCACGAATGCACCTAATAAAATGCTCAAGAAATCCTCTTAAAGAGGAGAATTAAAGATACATATTTGCTATTTTTAAAAAGTCCCTTTTAAAGATACCCTGTGTACTATGCATAATCCAGTAATGTAAAAATATATTAATACGTGAATTTCAGAGGGATAATTGGACATTAAGTTCAGACAGTTTGAGGTTACCATTTTTGTCTAAGTATAGGATATGTTTATTATTCTTTGGAAAGTCAGTTCCTCATTAAAAAGCAGAGAAAGTTTCTGCAAATAGTACCTGACATCTATAGCAGCAGCTCATTTTAATAGGAATTTGCTTTCCAAAATCTATAATATTGCCGTTGGGGTTTCAGAACTTAGATTCAGACCTGTGCACTCTTAAGAAACTTTCTAGAACTATCTAATAGCAATTGAAACCGTCCTTCACAGAGAGAGACCCAGTAAACACTATTTAGATGAAAGAAGCTATCTATTTTAAATAAGCCCCGCTAAGTACCAGATCAAAGGCACCACATACACTTACTAGTTCAACCAAATGGCACTGCTTCTGAGATCAAAGTGCTGAGGGGCTGAGGGAAGGAAGGAGCCTTTACCCAGAAAGCACGGGAAAGGACTAGGTCTAGGAGACCGCACCAATAGCAAGGTTTTAAAGTGGACACATGTCTTTACTTATTTCATTGTTGCAATGTACAGAATCTCCGGTTGAAATGGGGGAGAAAGTGTACCAATTAATAATAAGCACATACAATACGTTCTGAGCCATCAAAGGGCTTTTCTTACAATGGTTCTTTGCATTTCTGAAAGACAAGTACTTCAAAATGTTTATAATGTTAACCAGCCGCTTTCTTCTAAGTTTTGGAGCTGGAGCTACAAATCCAAGTCAGTCAAGGCCGCGTATTTTCTTTAGGGATCTTTTAATGGGGCCTCTCGAACCTGAAGGACCTGTGTGTGGGCAGGACATTTAGCCAAAAGCAATCTGCTTGGCAAATCGGAATCAGAGTGTGGATTCTGCTGAGAGAACAGGCACGGTTAGCGTTACCATCAAACAGTGGGAAGAGCTGCAAGAAAATAACATATAGTAAGTGACAGAACATTTTATTGACGTGTCCAAACCGGTCATCAAAGACATCAGTTGGAGAGTGAGCGAAGCATGGGGTTATTTCAAAGCAACTTCCTGCTAGAATTAGACTTCCCAGATCGTATGGTTTATTCTGTTTTCAGCCAGACTCCAATCATAAATACAGATTTGCAAACCGTGCCTTATCTGCTAACCATTCTTACTTGTTAATAGAGAGAGACAACTTCTGTCCTTTGCACTTTGTGAAAGTGCAGAGCTGGAATATTTAATAGCCGGGATTTTACTGAAGTCAGCTGTGGATTTCTTAGGCATGTGGAACCACATGCTTTTCAAGTGGCTAGCAGACCCCACTCAGACATTTATCTTGATGCTCAGATGCCTTTCATTTGCTGGTAGATTATAAACCACTGTAATCATTTCAAAGCCTCCTGGCTCTAATCTAAAATTAAAGCAAAAAAAGCATGTCTGTGGCATTGCTAAGGAAAACTATGTAAGGCAGTGGTAGCCAGCCTCTGAGAGAGCCCCCCCTCCCCTGGGATCTCTGCCTCCTGGTGTTCATACCCTCGTGCAGCCCCTCTCATGCTGTACTCTACCAGGAGAATATGGCAGAAGGTACAGCATGTCACTTTTGATATTAAGTTGTAAAAGCCACAGTGGCTTCTGTCTTGACACTTACTCTCTCTTGGAGCACTTGCTCTGGGGAAGTCACTTCCATGCTGTGAGCAGTCCTACAGGAAGGCACACGTGGTAAGGAGCCCATGACTCTGGAAACGGATCCTCCAGGCCCCATCAAGCCTCAGGTGACTATAGGTCCCTGACTGCTTGACTGCAGCCTCCAGGAGACCCTGAGCCAGAGCTTCCAGATTCCTGCTCCTCAGAAACAGTGTGAGGTAACTTGAGTTTTGAGGCAATTTGTTACCCAGCCGTAGATGACTAATACAAAGGCTTTGCTCATGTCAGGTAATAAGGAATTCTCTAAGCCAGTGGTTCTCAACCTTCTGGCCCTTTAAATACAGTTCCTCATGTTGTGACCCAACCATAAAATTATTTTCGTTGCTACTTCATAACTGTAATGTTGCTACTGTTATGAATCGTAATGTAAATATCTGATATGCAGGATGGTCTTAGGCGACCCCTGTGAAAGGGTCGTTCGACCGCCAAAGGGGTCACGACCCACAGGTTGAGAACCGCTGCTCTAAGCCCACTGTGATGGAGAGCCCAATAATAGTAATCCTCATTGCTGAGCTAGGCACTTTATGTTTATTGTCACATTTAGTTATTACTACAATCCTATGAGGTTGGGTTTATTGTTATCCTTATTTTGCAGATGCGGAAACAGAGGTTCTATGTCCCAATGGCTCTGTCCTACAAGACTGTCCCCACTGTAGACACCAACTGCAAGTCCAGGTTGTCACCTGCATTTCTGATCAACCAGCTATAAACGAGAGGTTCTTATAACCCCCCTCCTTCATCGTTTGCTAGAATGGCTCACAGACTCAGGAAAACAACTTACTGGATTACTGATTTATTATGAAAGGTATACCCAGAGGAAGAGATACCATACACAGGGCAAGGTATGTGGGAAGGGGCTCAGAGCTTCCATGCCCTCTCTAGGCACAATCCTCCCAGCTCTCCAGATGTACACCAACCTAGAAACTCTGCGAATCCCACCCTTAGGATTTTTATGGAGGTTTCATAATGTAGGCATGATTGATTAAATCTTTGGCCATTGGTGAGTAAGCCAATCTTCAGCCCCTCTCCCCT